TCAATCTGGCGACTGCAGTAGCTTATACCATGGCGGCGACTGTGCCGGCCGCATACGGAAATACTAGCATCGATCGACAACCAGACCCGGTGGATAGTGACCAAGATGCCGAGGGCGATGAGGATGATGAGTTCTATCCAAATCTCCCCCAAACAGCGCCTACAATACCACAGGAAAATGTCGATATTCCTTCAAACCTTGGAAAGGACGTGGAGGCAATCATAGCGAGTGAAAGAGAAGCAAATGACGAGGATGGCGCTGGGGGGGTGGATAATCCTGAGGCGAACCATAAGAATGACATTGCCAATATAGATGGGGTTGCCGACGAGGAGACTGAGGCTGTCGGAGCGGTGAAATTCCCAGATGGCGATGCCGAATCCGACAGTGATGGTGAGGATGATGACCCCAATGACCCGGACGTCGAATTCGAAAACGAATCCAACGGAGTCAAGGCAGATTCCGATGACGATTCCTCTGAAGAATCGGAAGCAGATGAGGAGTGGGAGGCCGAAAGTAACGACGTGGAAGATGCAGAAGCAGATGCATCAAATCCCAACAATTGCATGTAAGTTTAAAAATACGCATCCATAAGCAAACAAATAATTGCTAATTACATACAGAGTCTGTGGTCAAGACGAAGAACACGATCCTAGCGAAGAGTTCGAAGAATATTTGTCATGTTCTGTTTGTGGTGATCACTGTAAGTTTCGATGGTTTTAAAAAGCTTGGCTCGCGCCCCTGACGAAATTGTGGAGTTGAGGCTAATCTATCGGCCCATAGGTCACCGCCAATGTGCCCGAGAACGAGGAGCTTTAATTAACGACGAAGGTATTTTCTTTTTTTTAAAAAAAAAGATAAAATAAAAAATATCTTCTCATCCCTACACTTTTAGCTTCTTGAACAATATAACTAACTTGTGAAATTTATTAGATGCTGAAGATTGGAGGTGTCCTGGCTGTGTTAGAAACAAACTAGAACCTGATAAACCCGAAGAGACGCCATCCCGGCGAAAATCAGCCGCATCAAACATTGCGCGAGATCTACTACCCGCCCATAGCGAAGCTTTAGGGCCGGAGTCCCATTCTATTTTTAGCTCGTTAATAGTCGACGATGATCCCCTGGATGGCTCTAGGTCGCTTCGGAAGCGGAGGGCATCCGACGAGGGTCCAGAAGCGAATACGGTTACCCAGAAAAGACAAAAGAAAACGCCCATCAGATTCGAGGGGATGATCCCCACTCCTCTGCCTAGGGATATGAAAGCAGTACAAGCGTTAATCGAAAATTCTGCAGAGAACAACCTTATTGCCCGCCAGTCGAGATCACGACGGACGCGCAAAACCGAAAAGCCCCTTTGTAACGTTGTTCAGCGTCAGCCAGGAAAGATCGTTCTTTCATTTCACCTAAATAGTACAAAGTTAAATAAAATTTTGAGCTCCCGGCCAAAACTAAAAGTCTCAAGACGAAGACCCCCGAAGCCACCCCCAGCGGTTGAACCGCCCCAGCCTCATTTTCACCCCATCACCCCCGCGACATACAGCGCTCCCTTTTACGCGTTCCACGATCGAGAAAACGATGAGCTCAAATCGAAACCCTACGGGGGAATCTTATCAGAACCTGACGCTGACACGTCAAAGACACTCCCCCTTGCTGCGGATCGAGAGAAGTTCGAGGCCGCTCGTCAAAAAGCCGAAGAAGAATGGAGACAGAAAATGGCTACTATTGACCAGTCTGGTGAACCAGCACCACGTGCCTCACAAAAGATCTCAGGCCCACCAAGCAAAATAAAATACATCAGCTTTGGTGGCTACGAGATTGAAACGTGGTATGCTGCGCCTTATCCGGAAGAATACAGTAGAAACCGGGTGCTCTACATCTGCGAATTCTGTCTCAAATACATGAATTCGGCCTTTGTTGCCTGGCGCCACAAACTGAAATGCCCAGCGAAACACCCTCCGGGAGATGAAATATACCGGGACGGATCAGTGGCTGTTTTCGAAGTTGATGGTCGCAAGAATCCCGTATACTGCCAGAACCTTTGCTTGCTTGCGAAGCTCTTCCTAGGATCCAAAACGCTGTACTACGACGTCGAACCATTCCTCTTCTATGTCATGACAGAATATGATGAGTTAGGTTGCCACTTCGTTGGCTACTTTAGCAAGGAGAAGAGGCCCAGCTCATCAAATAATGTGTCATGCATCTTAACCCTCCCCATTCACCAGCGGAAAGGTTATGGCAATCTCCTGATAGACTTCTCCTATCTCCTAACGAGGGTGGAACGGAAAACAGGGTCACCAGAAAAACCACTCTCAGATCTAGGTCTAGTATCATACCGCAATTATTGGCGTCTCGTCTTATCATACCAGCTGCGAAATCAAAAGTCTCCCGTCAGTATTGCTGAGCTTTCAGAGCGCACCGGTATGACAGCAGATGACATTGTGTCAGGCTTGGAGGGATTGCGGGCCCTCGTTCGGGATCCCCAGACAAAAACGTACGCCCTGCGACTAAATTATGCCTATTTTGAGGAATATATTCGAAACTGGGAGAAGAAAAATTACATACGGCTCAATCCAGATGCTCTTGTCTGGACTCCCTATCTTATGGGTCGCAGCAACCAGTCCCACTATGACCGGGCACCGCTACATACTGTTGCCCCGCGTGATGAGCCCGATATGGACGGCGATCTGGATATGGAAGGCAACAGTGATAGCAATATGTATACCAACCGAGCAGAAAATATGAATGGCGATACAAGGAGCATGCAAGATGGTCTTGTCAACGGACATAGCCAAGCCAGATACGCCTCGCCCCCTTTTGAACCCCCTGGACCGCCATCAATGAGTGCGACGCACTTCGATGACCCTTCGTCAAGGCAAAACAATGGCGTCAGAACCCCGTCAGCGTCGTCCATGATACAGAATCCAGCAGCCGGAATTCCGCCCACGCGGTTTGAAATATTTCCTCCCATCCAAGGAACTGTTGCCAAACGTCGACCAGGTCGGCCATTCGGCTCAACTCGTGCTAATAAGTTTAAAGGACGCACGACTACAGTCACTGCTCCCGCTACGGCACGAACAAGTGGCCGCAGTACTCCAAAGCGAACTGCCAGCCAGGCTACGGGTACCCCGACACCTTCGAGTCGAACAAGTGGCCTCCGAAGGGGGCGAAGTAGCAGGCTCCTTGACGCTAATGATGCTAATGAAACTATGGGTGATGGTATTGAAAGCAGGGAGGACGGTGAATTTGAGCAATTGGAGAAGCCGGAGTTCGAATCTGCCGAGATAGAAACGAGTAATATGGAGATTGATGCCAGTGCTACATCTGAGTCGCGTAGCGGTTCAAGTAGCAAGGGCAGAGCTACCGGCGCTCTCGAGAATGGCAACACAAATGTCGACAAGGTTGCCTACGCTACCACGCCATCTCGAGTCAACAAAGGCAATAAGCCCCATGCGACCGATTTGGATATGGTGGACCATGAAGGTGCCCAGGAAGCTAATCAGGGGGCTGACAGCAATCGCCAGTCGATCGATGGCATTGATGAAGATACCTAAGAACAACTTTCGACATTCCTTCCCTTCTCGGCAATGGAGGCTGTTTCTCGACCCGAATCAGCGAGATATCTGATATTTTTGAATGGCATAACGTTTCTGGAGCCTATCACCATTCGTTCTGGCTTTTCGTAGGGCGCAATAAGGAGTTTCACGTTGGTTCATGTGGAGGTTATGGGCATGTTCAATGATATTCTCCTTCATTTCCTTTTATACCACTGTTTACTTTTAGTTAATTTTTTTCTCTTTGATTTCAGCCTCATTTTCCCCCCAATTACCGGAATCATATCATTCTGTTTTTCTTCTGATATACACGCCCATTTTTCCCATTTCGGGTTTCGCACTTATTAAAGTCATCATTGGCGTTTCGTGTTTTGTTACATTCGCCCCGCAATTCATCCGGTTCTACAGCTCTGATCCCTCTATTCCGCCTACAGCCCTTGAACCGATCTTCTTCTCCATCCACCTTTGTCCCCCCCCATCTTGTAACAAACACATATCTCATTATCCTCTGTACTTTATTATTATTAACTGGTCCTAGTTTACATCAATTTTGAGCCGATGGATGTTTTGGCACGTGGAATAATTTCGGCGCATATATATCTCTCTCTGCTCGCTGCTTGTTCTTGGTTTCACGCCCAACTCTGTTGGTATTTAATGGCAGGTGATGATGTTACGTTAATACAGGATCTAATAGTTTCAACCCCACTTTATAGGTAGCAAGTGACCTAGCACAGCATTACTCTTCTGTTTCTCGTACCTGCGTCTCGAGCTACCAGGGTTCCAGGGTTCCATGCTCACAGACTTCCCTGTGTCCGTGCGATACTTCTATCACGATAAAGTTTCTTTTACCCACCCAAAAGCCCGATGCTGTGTGAGATCGATGCATACTAAGGCTTGTATCGTTCCATTTGATATGCTTGAACGCATTTTACTCCTTTCTCCCTTGGTTTGAAGCCCCCACGCGCGGGGTTTAAGGTTTGGCTTAATCTCAATTTCCAAGATCTGGCAAACAGGTTTTGATATACACATGAACCCCAGGTAGCCAATGGCGAGAAGGGTCTAGGGGTTAATCGTTTACGCCTATGATTATTAGCTAGGAGACAACCTGTCTTTAGAAAGCTCTGCGTCATGGGTGGAATACATAGTAGGCTGTTGTGGAAAGTTGAGCAGATAATGCAGTTTTAAATATATATATATTTGGTGAATGCAAGAAGCCGGAATTAGGCGGGATGATTGACCGTTCGCACTACCCTAAATGTCCCACACACTTTTTGATGACACCCGGACATTCTGCACACGTACTTGTACTTGACATGATAAGAGAACGTCGCCATCACTAATTCATTTGTTTCGGACCCTATAGTGGTCTGAGTGGTTGTGAGATGTTCAATATGAGTCCACAACGCCCTTATGGAAAAAAGCCTATCGGCGGTCTCGCTCACATCAATTAGTGGCTGGATGGTGTAGTTGGTTATCACGTATCGCTCACATTCCTGGTTCTGCAAGCGCAAGCTTAGTCAGCCACCACATGTGCCGATAAGGTCCTGGGATCGAACCCCAGTCTAGTCATTCTTCTATATTCTTTTTTATTTTTTATTATTTTTATTTTGTCAGTTTTCATATTATTTTTCCTGATCATATTTTTCCCTCCGACCGCCTGCATAACAGTTAAGGAACCTCATGAGCGCCAACGGACTATTCCCGACGCTTCCACATTATTGGATGCGATTTGAGTTGAACGGGGCAGAGCCGGAAGGAGAGACAAAGAAATGATGGATGGGTTGGATTTCAGCGAATGAGCATCAGTAACTAACAACCCATAATGAGCCTCGTTTCAATCGACCTGTACGGAGTAGTTGCAACTAACAAATAATATTCAAATAGAAAGAAACCCCACCCCCCCCTTTTATGTTCAGAAAAATGACCATCCCAACATTGAACAAAGAAATGAGTGAAGGAATGCATTCCCTTCTCTGTGCCCTGCACGAGATACATACATGGTCCTGCAAGGCTAACTACTGGAAATTCCGACTAGTTATTATCCAACTACTGCTGTTGTGCTGCCAGACTTGAGATGTATGTATCTTACAACCGAGCACATTAGGCGCATGCAGTATCGGATCCTGTAGTTATCTGTCATTGCCTTTTAGAGGCAGTTTCTTTTCTTGACAGCAGGCGGAAAAGTGATATATCTTACCCCCCTCCCCCTTTTCCATGCATGCTGCGTTGTTGATATCGAATCCCTATTTTGTCGAATAATAATATAGACAAGATCAAAACACTTAAGCTCCTGGGGCGTTGGTCAATTATCATGGTTGACTCCCACCCAACCTAACCATATCTGCATCGAACAGCCAAACCACAGTTCGGTCGAGCTATCCGAGAGAAGCCTGAATCATAGCTATTCCGTGGGTTTTCTCCCTGCGTCTTGTTACCCATGGTATTCTCCCGTCGCTAGGAACTCAGGCTTCTTATTCGCCCTGTTCTAAACAAGTGTGGGCTGTGGGATCTTCACCGATTTTTCTGCTAATGCAGAGCACTGGGCATCGCGCATGTTTGCTTTTTTATCTGCTTTTAAATTCGCGAGTACGGATGGGCTACGACGGTGTGTGGGTGGTTATTGTTTTTCGAGCGGAGTTTTTAGAATCATTGGAGTGCGCGGAAATGGGCTGTATGTACTCGGTATAAGCCGGATAGATCCGATAGGGAGACTCAGATATGTATCTCTGGAGGCAGTAGATTGCTATCTGCCCATTTGTTTTGCTACATAGCAATACCCGCTTTGTTATATCATTCCTGGCAACATACGCTAGGTGCACCCGAATATCGCGCTTATACCTGCCCCAAATCAGGTATATAAAAATGTTGTACCATCAGGACACCTGTAACACGGTGGAGAAGTGACGTTTTTAACGCCAGTCGGAAATACCTGGTGCTCAGCCTCCTGCATTTGCTTGCTGCATAGGTTCCATCATTTCTCCGCACCAACGGGATAATTGCCCGGATAAACATTCCCTCCTGCTGGAGTCAGTGGAGTGTGCTGATCTGCTGATCAGGAGGTGGTGAGATACATATCCAATACGCCGAGCCCTGCAAGATTTTGCGCCAAAAAGCACGTATATAGGAGGGGGGCCTCACCTATCCCTACCATGAAGAAATTTCGATCCATTAACCTATATGTTTTATATCCGGATGCTTGGTTGCAGTAGAAGTCGAGGATTCCCTGTTTAGAAACTGAAACATACTGAAAGCTTGAATCCGCGGGGCAACAATATAAATCCCCGCTATTACATTAACATACCTGTAGGATCGACCGGGAACCTGCGTGGCTAATTCTCAGCTGCCACTCAGAAGCCGTCCAAGCCTATGGAAACATTCTACATCATTTAAGTTGTTTTGTTATTCGAGCCAGCGAGAGGGGCAGAGTAGAACAGGTTTGGCCAATTAGCTCAGGAATCCTAGGCGAACTGGATAAACGACAAACCAACAATGTAAGGAGCAAGATATTACGTTCGAGTTAATTCATCCATAGCTGGAAGAAGTCTTGCATCGACGAGTGCTCTTTCGTGCATCTGGCTACTACTAAAGCCACACCTCTTGTCATCGGGCCGTAGTGGACATTTTCAACCTCTGAACTAGGTAACTCAACAAGTTAGTATCCGGTCGACTACTAAGCTTCGCCGTGGACCAGGTTTGAGGCAACGTACTGTACATTCCAAATACAGGGCTACTTTTGTGAGACCTGTGAAGCGAGATAAGGAGTCAATTACAGAGCTTGCTCGATTGTTTCGCCGATGTAAGATATTATACAGAGTGTATGTTTCGCTTCTTAGCTCTGTCTGTTTTCAACTTTTCGCTATAAGCCAAATGTAGCTTTCGGGCTCAGATGGAAAGGCCGTATAAAAGGGGATGCCATGTCCGTTTGTCGAGCAACGATTTCATAAACACCAATGTCTCATATTGATGATCGTAAACAGCGAAACAAGATTTTTTTTTTCGTGTATCTGCGCAAGGATTGATAACGAGATGAGGAGGGGGGGTTGCAGGACAACCGAAAACAATTAAACAAGTATTATGAGTCGGGAAAACGGCAATGCATGTGCATTTTATTACCCATTTCTCCGGGCTGAACGGGTTTAAATGGCTCCAGCCGGCCTCAAAACATAATACCTTCCCTTCTAGTAATTGTGACGAATATCAATGTATTGTGTAAAGAGAGCTCTGGTGTGGTGAGAGCAAATCGTCATGTCCTTGAGTAAAACTCGTCGCAGAAATCCCCGGGTTGCGGTCGTGTCACTGTGTCGACGCAGCTTCTTCTTAGTTTTGAAGTCAAGACGCTAGTTATATGATAGTAGTGGTCCAAGCGGCCGAACATGCTCGATCTTCGAGGGACCCACAATTGCCATCGTTCCAGATTTCTCTTTTTCAACCTTCAAAAAAGTCAAGATTGGCCAAGCCGACGGCGCCGAAAATGGGTCTCCATTAACTTTTAAGTTCAGGGTCTGAGAGCACCGAGAGGTTAGGATGCACGCTAGCTCAATTCTGGTGGCTCAAAGCCAGCAGTGTAGCACCGCCAAGGTATTGTGAACAATAGTCAAGGTCGAGGGAAAAAGCAAAAGAGCAGTGCTGGGGAATGATTGTTATCATGCTTCCAGACAGCGATGCACTACTGTTGTCTCCCATCATTTTGTATTGGTCAATCGGTGTGGGGGGGAGGTTTCCTGGAATGAAGAGCGGGCTGAGGGATGTGTCATTGATAAACTGCCATCAGCATGCTCAATGATGGGATTTGCATTCAATGGGATCTTGACCCATACGGTCCATTTTCTCGTTTCTTCATGCCGACAATCTGATTTAAAATCACCGGGCAAAGCATGATGGAAGGAAATGATGATGTTGGTCAGCTCGAAATGACTGGATTCGAGTTCACCAAAAAAAAAAAAGGAGGGAAAAAGAAAAAAACTCCACAAATTTTGCCGCACAAGCGGGTCCCATAAATTGGCCCAGTTGGAAAACTCAGGATCGCATGGTCATTTTGGCTGTTTTCGAACTCGAATATCTATCTCATCGAGAAGGAGTTGACTGATATATAATCTGACAGTTTGTATATGTTGATAAACTCTTCTTAGCCCCAAGGTTAGGTCTGGTTACGAATCTGCAAGTGTTGCGGGTCGATCCCAAGGTTAAGGAGGACCTGTCAGTTGCAACGGATCCATGGATTCGTATAAGGTAGAAGCATGTTTAATTATTATGTATCCACGGATTTGGCGATCTTAGATATCTGTTAAAGGCTGTGATAAGGAGTTATCGAGCACTCATTATGGCACTGGCAAAAGGTTGAAATATATCATAGATGTTGGCTTTTAAAAAACGGGTTTCCATCCTTGATCGACTTGAGGAAATAATTTGCATTCACCCACTCCGTACATTGCTTGGAAGTTTGGGCCTTTTCCGATTGATTTTCCGGTAGATAAAGGTGCAGGATGACGGGTGGAGAGTTCCACAGACTTTATTGAGCGGCGATGAATGGGCCGTTTATCACACGATCTTGTGACCGGTACTCGCGGTCTACGACCAATCTCACGCATTCCGCAGATGCCCAGATATGTCTTAGCGGAATGATGGTGACTTCATGAGGTCAAAGCAGGTCTTAGAGCAGGGCGGCCTTGGGGACCTACCCATAACGCTTAAAGGGGTCTGAGAAATTGAAGCGAGTTCGTGAATGCACGCTGGAACTACCTGGAGCTATATCCGCCTTAAATCTCTGTCGCCAGCACATGCGTTTCTTCCATACTCGCGCTGTATTCTGTGTTTATAACTGAATAGAAAAAGCATGTAGAGGGCTAGAGTTAAAGTTTGGAGGTCATGACTGTCGGCAGAGGCTTCACCTCCATTCAAAAATGTAGAATAGTCGTAGCTGTAGGAAACCGGCATTTGTCTTTGGCCAAAAGAGTGGAAGATAACTAAAGGCCCCTTTTGGGAGGTGGGTGACACAGGATTCGTTGGGCTGATTCATCGGAGTTCTGTGAATATGCCGATGGGTTTGACTAGCCACAAACTCGATGATATTCGAAATGGATGCAGTCGCTGCTTGTGCATGATTGGCTGGGGACTCTGCTAGCTGCAGGCGAGTCTGGCAGAGGTGTGTGAGGCTGCTCCTTTTCCATCAACCCCCATCGCTGGATCCCATTTTTTTTGGCTGAGATGGACAACCTTTCTCCACTACCGGCTGCCATCAGGCTGGCATCTTAGGAAGCGCTTCATGCTTCGTTTTATGATTGCCCTTGTACACATCGAATTTGGGAGGCGGATGATGCGAAGCGCGAAACAATAATTGCGAAGAAATTAGAAAACATTCGCTCCGATGATCTATGGATCTGCAATGGCCAAAGGTATTCCGTTCGACGCTTAAAGTTCTGAAACCTGTTTCGGCCATGCTCTCGGCTTCTTGGAACTCATACCTTCTGGGCTCGAGTGTCTGGCATGGTGGAGGCACTAATTATCCTGGGTCCGGGAGCTTCGCGGTTCCAGCACAATAGCGAAGACCCATCTGAAATTACCACGCGAAA